GAGGAGAGGACAGCAGATAGCAAACCCCTGTTCTTCCATCATCGAGCTTTTGATGTGACGTGAAGATTTTAACTTTCCTTCGCCATTGCTTACTCCGTTGACGGATTCTGTGTGCAACGTTTCTGCTAACCATTGGCCCCAGAACGGCAGAAACTGTAACTACCAGTTCCTACGGTGCACAGTTGCAGAATGATAAATAATTCAGTACTTTAAGTATATTTTCTTTGAATTTCAATTGGATACTTGTCTGAATACTCTTCAAGCTCGTTATAATTGAATAGAATGGGTAATCGCAGCCTCTTGAGACCTGAAGGGCTCTTCTGTGCGGAGCTGATTTACAATGCAGATAGACCGGAGGCGGAAGACCCTAGACCCGCCGAGGAGGGCGTGGAGTCTGGGCGGCAGTTGGGGTTGTGGCGGGCATTTTGGGGGAGAGGACCACGTAAAAAGTAGTTGGTGAAAGTGCATGCTCGCCTTTGGTTGGAAGTCAAGTAATGCGCTTATTTAGCACTGTTACTGGAGAGTTGGTCGTATTATGAACGAACTTTGGTATTTCGGTTGGAGTTGAGATTTTGTTGAGCCAGTGGTCTTCAGGCATGGAAGTGACAAATCTGTATGTAGGAAGGGACCTGCTGCTTGTCTTGGAGGATGAACTGGAGTGGGAGGGACACGTTCAGTCGTCTGAGCAGCGGTTAGGGTGTGGGAGCTGGATTTAGGGTTAGGAATTGACGGTTGTGGGAGATGAGGGTAGAGGTGTGGCAAGATACTAAGCTGAAGAGATCCTGGACACCTTTCTAGTTTGAATCCAGGTTTTCAATATGCTATCGGTGAATTTACGGCGATGGTCACTTCCAGGGGCTGCACCCCAGCATTCTGCCGTGGCCTCCACTCTGACTGGCACTCACCTGTTAGGGCAGTGTGTTACAGGTGAGAGGACTGAAAGGCGGTGAGTTGCTGAAGGCCACACGTCTGGGAAGCGACCTTTTTGTGTTTGAACCCAGACCCTCTTGAATCTTTCTTTCATGTATTATACAAATATTATGTGTTTTTTAAGTTGCTTTAAAAAATCCTGTATTCCAATAATTGGGACATTTCATTAGATTTTTAGAGTTAGATAATAGCAGAGTCACTGTCTTATGTTCTAAGTGCTTTTCTTGTATTAAACTATTCATCCTCAAAGCTGCTTCACAGAGGAGGCTCCCTGTGCTCTCTGTTTTACTGGAAGGAACTGAGGCTCTGGGATTAAGTAATTTATCAACGATCACACGGCTAGTAAACTGGAGCTGATGTGAACCGAGGCCTTGCAGCTCCAGAATCCTTGCTTGTGAGGACTGTGCAGGGTTGCTTCTCATGTGAAACCTTTGTAGGACTTAGGTTTCACAGAAACTCAAAAGAAAGGTCTGTGGCTTTAAAAGTATTATTTATTACTTGAATGACTTTCTTTTTTGTAGTGTATTTTTACATTAATGGGATGTTCTTAACTGATCATGATACTAAAAAGCAACAAAAGAAACCCTTTAAGTGCCCCTTGGGAAATAATATTTTCTTGTGCATATCAGTGGAATTTTTGGTAGTTCCACACACTGAAATTTACTGTGAACTGAGGTTGATAGATAGTGCAGCTGTGTTAGCATCCTGTTTCCTAATGGTGAAAATACAGATTTAACTGAGTACTGGGAGTATATGGAGAATGGCATCAGTAAAAGATCTCTTAAGTGTGAGAACATTGACAGGTATCTTTCCTAGTTAATCTACTGGGCCTTTTGTATGGAATCCTCCATCTCTTAGAATGCATAAATTATGGTAAAAGTCAGCTTCTTTCCCCAAAAGTGATTGGCAACAGTAGACCAAAGGTCTTGAAAGAATTGTTTTAAGGTTATGGAACGTCTGTGATTTACCTATGTTTTATTTTTTGTTATCTTTACTTCTGGAAAACAGCTTGCAAACTGTTAAAAAAAAAAGGGAAACTTAAAAAAAAATTAAGAATGGATCTTGTTTTTTTAGGGGAGGGGCACAATAACGATGATGAGAGAATGGGAGCACTTAGATTTGAGAATAAAAAGCTCCTCTTCTCCGAATTCAAGAAGATAACCTCCTTGGCCCTCCTTCCAAGCCTCAAACTGGTGACTCCAGAGCCCTTTCAGACCTGCCCAGTCACTGGCAGCCTCTTTTTCAGCGCCTCCCTCCTGCAGTCAGCCAGTTAGTAGCAGCCTCCAGGAACCAGCCTGTGACAATCAGCCAGTCCCTAACCTGCTTCCGAGAGGCCACCAATCCCTTTTTCTCCATGCTTCTCAAACCTCTTTGATAAGTTCTGCACTTGCCGTGTGAGGCCAGATTTCGTTGCAAGCAACAAATCTGGCGTCTTTGTTTTAGATGTATGAGGATGATGGTCTGATGGTCTTAACCTTGGATGATTCTGTTTATCAGCCAGCTGTGGGGAAGGAACCCCAAAGGATGGAGAGGATAGTGGAACTTCAAGGAGGAAATGACAGCAAAGTGCTGGAGGGCATCAAACATCAAACACATTTTTGTTGGACTTGGTCTGGCCAAAGAAGCCAGTCTGGGCTTGAAAGTGACCTTATGCTTAATTTTTAGAAATGCCATCATGTGGTTCGACAGCTCCTCTGTTAGGTTATATTATACTACTACTGTGTTATATTATAGCTTAGTTATTATTACAATGTCTCTTAATTGAACTTGTCTGCCAGACTTTTGTGGATTACTCTTTTCCCCTTGGTTATTAATGCGTAGTTTGTGGGGAGGTGCTTGGAAACCATGTAAAATACACCATTCCTCACTAAACTTTCAGTTTATTTAATTATTTATGTTACGATGGACTTAAGTTTATTTTCTGCCACATTTTATTTTTCTGTCAGTTGGTGGACATTTGAGTTGTTTCCACTTTTTGGCTATTATGAGTAATGCTGCTGTGAACATTCTTGTACAGGGTTTTGTTTGGATGCATGTTTTTAATGTGTCTAGGATAGAATCTCTGGTTCATATGGTACTTATATGTTTAGTCTGTTGAGGACCTACCAGACTTTCTCAAACTGCTGTACCATTTTACATTGCTGTCAGCAATGGGTAAGAGGTCCAGTTTCTCCCCATCACTGCCTGCACTTGTTTATTTGTTTTTGTTTTTTTTTTAGTTATAGCCATGCTAATAGGTGTGAAGTAGTATCTCATGGTGGTTTTGATTTGTATTTCTCCATGACTCATGTTGTTTAACATCTTTTTATGTGCTTAATGGCCATTTGTATATGTCTTTGGAGAAGTATCCAGATCCTTTGCCCGTTTTTAAGTTAGGTTATTTCTTTTGATTATTGACTTACAAGAGTTCTTTATGTATTCTGGGTATGAATTTCTTATCAAAAATACAGTTTGCAAATACTTTCATTTTGTGGATTCTTTTTTTGCTTTTTGGATGTTTTTCTTTGAAGCCACATAGGTTTTTCATTTTGATGAAGTCCAGCTTCCCTGTTTTTTTCTTTTCTTGCTATTGCTTTTTGGTGTCATATCTAAGAATCCATTGCCAAATCTGAGGTCATGAAGATTTATGCCTGTTCTAATAGTTACAAAGTTTTAGTTGTGTGTGGAGGTGTATAATCCATTTTGAGTTAATTTTTATGTCTGTTATAAGGAAAGAGTCCAACTTAATTCTTTTGCATGTGGATATCTAATTGTTTCAGAATAATTTGTTGAAAATTACTCTGTTTTACCAACCCTGTTTAAAAAATTTTATGTCTATACATATATATATATATATATATGCACTTATTACAGTTTTGTTTTCTTCCCTTTTAAGAACAATTTCAAAAATGTTTCAAATTCCTGTGGAGAATCTTGACAACATCAGGAAGGTACGAAAAAAGGTGAAAAGCATTCTTGTGGATATTGGACTTGACAGCTGCAAGGAGTTGCTGAAGGTAAGAGGGCGTAAGTAACAGATTAAGAGAAGACAGTAATCCTGGAGATGCTGGGTTGGTGAGATTTGAACTGGGAGTTTTGAGGAATGGGTGAGATGCCTCAGGATGTAAATTGCTGACACTTGAAATGAGGCAGGAGAGAAGAATTTTTTTTTTGAATTGAAGTACAGTCAGTTACAATGTGTCAATTTCTGGTGTACAGCACAATGTCCCAGTCATGCGTATACATACATATATTCATTTTCATATCTATCGACAGATGACTGGATAAAGAAGTTGTGGTATAGTTAAACAATGGAATACTACTTAGCCATAAAAAAGAATAAAATAATGCCATTTGCAGAATTTGTTTTTATTCATGTCTTTCTGACTTAAATGGGATGCTTTAATCTGGTCCAGTTGTTAAAGTTACTTTTAGGAGGAAATTTTTATAGTAATTAATTGCAAAATGTATTTGTTTTTGATCTTTGAGGAGACTGTGTTGAATTATTTATATTATTTTAGCAGAAGATCCTAACTCAATTTCCTCGTGTTGTTAAAGTAATCAGTAAACGGGGATGCGTACTTGATATGATAGGGCTGTTTGTTTTGTTTTTTCTGATTTGTGCATTTAACACTTGCTGTCTTACAGACGTTTAAAAATTATGGTCACAGTCACACTATTGATAAGTTATGTTCTCATATAATTTTATCTTTTCTTGTAACTTGAGAATATATGGCTGGCATATGTAGTAGAGAAATAAAAATTGTTAGATAAGGTTTGCTCTAAAGTTTTATAACCACTCACAATTCTGTGCATGTTTGATGCATAACTGTCGAAATAGGGACCGTGTATGCTTTGAATTTTTCAGACTTGTGAAGAATTCGATTCAAAATATTATTGGCCTGGGAAGAGTTTAGTTTCTTAATTTTCAAATCTCAGACTTTGAACTAGATTGACTATTTATAAAAAGGCATTCTGATACTGAAAGATTAATAATTACTAGGATTCTCGACAGAAATGGACTCATGGACAGAGAATACAGACTTGTGGTTATGGGGGGGG